TTTGAAAGGTGGTATCCTGTGAGGAAGGCCGGTGATACTATAGTAAATTCCGAATGGCTGTTTGTACCAAAATTGCAAAATTGAGGATGGCCTTATACTAAATATGAAATGCACTGTAGAGAGGTGGTCACAGAGCTACTGTTCCTCCCATCAAACACATTACACTTACCCCTACGAGACGACTGAGAATTCTACCCAATGGAGTCTCTTCAAAAAACGATAATGGAGCTCGCATAAGAGCAGCGACAAGCGGGTGGTGAAGAGCTAAGGAAGCGCGCACTCCTCCAAACGTTGATGACACAGTTGCGATGATATTGAAGAGCACTGAAAAGCTAGAAAATTAGAAACTTGTTCAAGCAAATTAGCCAGCGAAGAAAAAAGAATTTTGGTAAGTTGCATTGTAATTTATCAGAGGCACATAGAGCAAGTTTCACCTGTTTCGAAAGAGCTTGGAAAGGTATCAGAGTCGTTTTTAAGGCTACGACTACTCCCACTTCTCATGTTCACAACATACGTGCTGTCGTGCGCTACCTTACCACGTGCTTCCCCCAGCCCATCGTATAATAGTCATGGACATCTTATGGTGAAGTAGGTGAATTGCATAACTCGCTCGTACCGACGGGTTCCGCTTCTGCATCCCATGATGTTGTGATCTGCCCAGCGACTTGTTTGCCTCAACTTTTCCCTACGCTCACATCTGCACCCAATGTGTTTGTTTGAATGTTTCGAAGCAGCACGTCCACTCCATCAGATCAAAAATTCTCATTTTCGAAGTTTTTGACTGCTTCTTTTCCTGTTTTCGCTAGTTCTTTACACTTGCGATGGAGTCAATCGCTGATGACTCCGCTTGGATAGTAGTCTCGTTAACAATGTCTGCAAGGAAAGCAAAAAGTGACCTCGTCAAAAATTTGATCTCATTACCTCTTGCCCGTCGGCCCGGGTGACTGCCACTGCACTATCTCGCTTCATAACTACGTTCAGAGAATCGTTCCGCAGATTTGGAGAGGCAGATTCGAGATCAGCGTCCAAAAATCACTCGGTGGTGTATGCCTCGTTACAGATGGTCACCTCGACCTGTTATGCCGATCTTGTCAGGAAAAAAAGATTTTTCCTTGTTTTTCTCCCTTTTTGTTTCTATTTCTTCTTACTTTTTTTCCTTTTTGAAACCGCTGCGGTCAAGCTGTTGACAGCTAGTTTCCGCATTGGATGTGGCGTTAGCCCTCTAGAATTTCAACAACAGTTTGCGGAGTCTTGTACGCGGTTGAATTTCGACAGCAAATTCTATGGTACAGGGTGGGCAAAAATTACGGTAACAAGAGGTTGCTGCTGTCCAAAGTTCCAATTTTAAACACCAGGAGTTTCTGATGTATATCCTATGCATTTGCTTTGATAGTTAGTGTTCCTTCTTTGATTTCGTCACATAAAATATATCCACTCCAGGATGGACAGCTTTTAACTCCTTGAGAAACAATCACTACTTCGCTGCGATGAACTGTTTGATTGTGTTGCACTGCATGAGGGTTTAGAAGCTCTTTGAAACCTTCATCGGCCACCATTACGAAGTTCAATAGGCTAGTTACCAGCGCCAATAGGCCTGGACCTCGAAAGGATTGTTTCTGCGACTTCACGGGTAGTATCTCGAAGATACGTTCGAACAAGCGCTCGAAGCCAGCTGACTCAATCCGTTGTTTTGTCGCTGAATCTGCTATCTAGCACACTTCTTAGCGACGTATTGTTCGCACACGTTTAACAAAAAGGATTACAGTCCATATCCGACGGGTTGGGGGAGGCGGTCCACACGGACTTCATAGCGTCGCGGCCAGAGCTGCGCCGCGATGGAACGTTGCCGTCCCACGGTAGTTATTACTGGTGAAGACGGGTGTCTGAGCACGCCGTCGTGTTGTTGTCTGCACTCTCCCGCATGCACGCATCTCTCCGTATCTCTGCCTTCTTTGCTCTGCATCGAAGGGTTGACACTGCGACGCCGCTCTTCCGTCTGGGCTCTTGCCACGTCTGCCGATCAATCACGATTTATCAGCTGTTCCAAGGCATATTCTACTATTCCTGGTTTTTTGACGCTTCTTCTTCTCGTCCTGGAAAGGTAAGTTGATTTTAAATAACGATCGCGTTGGTTTAATAATAGTGCAGACGATGTCCATGATAGCTCCATTTTGGTGCTACTTCTTTTTTTTGTAGGTTGTTCCATATTGTCTACTTTTTGCTACTTCACTAGACTTTCTTTCCATCACATTGTCTTTGAGATGTTCCTGTTATTGTGCGGAACACTCGTTGATAAATGGCTTGGTTGGGGGGAAATAAAAAAAAAAGAAAAAAGTCATTTTTTGCACCCTTTTTAATGGTTTAACCAACTTTTTCTTTTCCCCAAAGTGTTTTATGATTTCTTCTATATTGTTTGACCCTCTCTTTATTATTGGTGTGATCGACGTCTTCGTTGTTATCGGAATTGCTCTTTGAAACCGTTTCGAGGTCTGAAGTCATTCTGAAACATGGCTGATAATGGTAACCTTGCAGTCGCCATGGTATAAAAGCAACCCAAAGGCAAAAAAGCATGGAATTCTCCGAAAAAAAGCGTTACGAAATTGGAGATGCGACCAATAGGACAACGAAGAGAGAAAAAAAGATCCTACCACCTTGAAATTAACTGCTACAATCTGGTGCGAGAAAAATGCTCCCGACTACTTTACAAAAACTCTTGGGTATCAAGCGCATTCAATGTAATTAGAGAGTA